GTTTTAGGATTGTTTCTAAGAGCAGCAATACATCTTTAATATAACCAATTTGCTTTCCAATTTGCAAATTTGCATAGGTGTAAATCATTTTGTTGTTCTTAAAACGTTTTTTCTTAATAATCGCGAAGAAAATTACTCTACTATTATTATTATTATTATATTATAGGTTATAACCTATATTATTATAATTCCTATGTATCTATTGAATTTTATATAATAAATTATCCCTCTATATTTACGAGGTGTGTTCAGAAAATAACGGGAATTGTCAAATTTCGCGGGTTCGGAGGGTCCGGTTGTCATAATATTTTCTTTATTATGTTGGTATACATGCCCCCGAAGTATGATAAAAACTTTAGCTGTTTTCATTGTTTACTTTGTCTGTGGCAGCCGCTAAGGTTAGACGTGTTTTATGAGCTCGGCGATTTTTCGTTCGTTTAAAGAATTGAATCAAAGAATTTGTATCCAATTTTGCTTAAAAATACAATAAATTCTGTGAAATATTAACAAAGGCCTATAGTGAGTCTGCTATGAGTAAAACAAGAGTTTACAAGTGGTATAAGAGTTTCCAAGATGGCCGTGAAGACGTTGAAGATAATGAACGCCCTGAACGCACAAGCGCATTAACAACCGATAAAAACATGGAAAAAGTGGAAGAAATGGTTATAAACCATCAGAGAAGTCGCTGATGATGTTGGTATATCGATTGGCTCATGCCATGAAATTTTTTCGAATGTTTTGGGTATGAAACGCGTGGCAGCAAAATTTGTTCTAAAATTGGTAAATTTTGAACAACATTTATGGCCAAAAACAATACTGTAAAGATGCCCCAGCCTCCATATTCGCCAGACATGCCTCTATCTGACTTTTTCCTATTCCCAAAAATAAAGAGAACCTTAAAGGGCCGTCGTTTTGCAAGCATGGATGACATTAAAAGCGCATCGCTGAAAGAACTAAAGGCTATCCCAAAGATCGAGTTTTAGAAGTGTTTCGAGGATTGGAAGAAGAGCTGGCACATGTGCATAATATCCAATGGGGACTATTTTGAAGGCGACAACATTAATGTAGACGAATAAATAAATATTTGTTTCAAAAAACTAAAATTGCCGATATTTTTTGAACACACCTCGTACATAAATTTAATAATAGTCCCCTAAATACGAGTCCTGTCTCAGTGAAGTTGGCCCAACCACTCAAAATATAAAATTTGTAATTTTATGCGATGAAAAGCCAACAATTTTTTATCATATGTAATTTTTGGTCAATCTTCATGTTGTAAATTTTTTTTAAAAATATGTGTATGTATATTATTTAGTTTTAAGTTGGATGTTTGGTTACAATACAAAAAAATCGACAAAAATGCATTAACTTGGATGGCCAGATTTTTTAATGCAAGTCGGCTGTGCTAAAAGTAAAGATAATATTTTACATTTAAATAATTGTAAGCAAGTCGGTAGTAACATTCCAGTATATATTTATGCTTTCGGTGTGGTTGACAAATAATAATGTCCCGAGGAAAAGCTGTTTCTAAAGAAATAAGAAAAGTGATAATTTACTTGCATTTAAAAAGAAAATCCGCTGCACAAATCGCTGAAACTGTTAATTTGTCACGATATACAGTGCGAAATATTATTAAACTGCACAAAACTACAGGATCTGTGGCGCAGAAACCAAAAAATGGAAGTCGTCCTCACTATTCTGATAAAAATTTAAGGGCTTTAAGAACAATTATCGTTCAAAATCGTAGGGCTAATTACGGTGAATTAAAAGTTTTGTGGAATCAGGCAACGAGTAAATGTTTTTCAAGAGCAACCTGTCATAGAGCTGCTCAAAAACTTGGGTTTAAAACTTACAAGGTTTGCTTATAATGTATACGATTTTTATTTATTTTTAATTTTACTATCTGTAGGCAAAGGAAAAACCTTTATTGACAAAAAAAAACAGAAGAAAAATAGACTTCTCTGGGCAAAAGAGCACAGGACTTGGTGTCAAAATCAATGGGATTCAATTATATGGAGTGACGAAGCTAGATTTGAAGTTTGCGTTGGTGATAATCGAAGCCGAGTCATTAGAACTAAAGCAGAAGTCTTTCACAATGACTGTCTTAGGAAAAAAGTAAAGTTTCCGGCCTCTGTGATGATTTGGGAATCTATGTCAGCTAAAGGGATCGGTAAATTACACTTTGTAGAGGGCATTATGAATGCTGATAAATATATTTACGTCCTAAAAAATAACTTAAAGCCGCAAATTGAAGAAATGCGTTTAAATGATATTGAATCCATCTTCCAACAAGATGGTGCAGCGTGTCATACGGCTAAAAAGTGAAAGCTTGGATGATAGAAAATAATATTTCACTTTTAAAATGGACATCTAGTAGTCCAGATCTTTCGCCTATAGAAACTTTGTGGAATATTATGAAAAAGAAGCTCAGAGAACAGCCCGCAAGAACCGTCTTAGAGTTGCGTGCTCACCTGCAAGAAATTTGGAATAATTTTACGCCGGATGATTGTCAAAAATTGGTTGACACCATGCCGAGAAGTATACAGGCAGTAATAAGCCATAAAGGAGATGTTACGCAGTGGTAGTTTCCAATTAAAATGTATTTATTTAAAATATTTTTTTTTCTTAATTTTTGGTTTACGGACAATATAAGAGAATTTTAAATATTTTTTTAATAGGTACTTAAAAATACAATTTAACGGTAGAAAATTTAATAAACGTTATTTATTTAATTAAACCAATGTGTTAATTTGAATTAATTACCGTATAATATTCTAAATATCTTCAGAAAACTATTTTTGTTAGTTGGGACAACTTCACTGATACGGGGCTCGTATATTCCAATTTATTTTTCATGCCTTTACCATTATGAGACCAATGTTGTGTTGCAACACAATGATGCATTAAACGCAGCATTATTACAGTTTTAGCAATAAATTAAATTTATGAGGTTTTCCTCAACAATTTATGAATTTCTCTTTGTAAGCGCAAATACTTTGTTATATTATATGGTTATTCATATTAATGATCCACTTGTAGCACAAAAATTTTGTGCTACAAGTGCTTTGGTCTTGAGATAAGTAAAGTATTAAAACCTTTTTGCAATTATAACCGTTTGATCTTAACATTGATTTATTACTGTTAACCAATAATGCTTTTTAGGGCAACTTGCCCCCAAGAAACTCCTATAGTCCAATAAGCTTTATGAAAGTTTATCAGATGCCTATTGGTTTTAATGGTGCGCGGAAAGTTGACTTTTTTCCTCTATGTAAGAATGTTACAGAACCAAACAGTTAAAAGGTTTTATGATTGTTTCTAAGAGCAGCAATACATCTTTAATATAACCAATTTGATTTCCAATTTGCAAATTTGCATGAGTGTAAACCATTTTGTTGCTATTATTTCTTTCTTAAAACGTTTTTGTCTTAATAATCGCGAAGAAAATTACTCTTATTATTATTATTATTATTATTATATTATAGGTTATAACTTATATTATTATAATTCCTATGTATCTATTGATTTTATATAATAAATTATCCCTCTTATTGATTTTACTCTGTACATAATAATTATTAAACAATTTGCCTAAATTTTATGTCTAACTTGCCAGATTGTTGTTTTCAGTAAACATCTGTTCTGTTGTAAACATCATAGAGAAAAGAAAAAACATTTGACAATTTTTTGTTATCATCTGACAAAGCATTATACGCTAAAGAAGTATCGGGTTTTCGAAACGCGCGCGCCACCTGGTGGACTTCTATAGCATTGCGTGAATTTAAGAATTGTCAACAATAGATTTAAAGCACAGATTATACATCATTTTTAAATAAATAGGTAGTTTTTCACAAAAGAGAGGAAGGCAGAAGTCTTACTCGAATAATTTCATTTAATTGCACAGCTAAATCGCGCACGTTATTTGTGTTTTACGTTGCAACTTTTTTAGTACTCGATTTCGATTGATTATTCCTTATATTATTGATTAAAAAACAACGCTTAAATGCTTATATAGTTACGTTAGTGTGTGTATTTTATCTAAGGGATCATGTTGAATTATTGTGTTTTAATTGTAAATAAAATTCAAGAACTAAATCGTTGCATTTTCATGTTTTGCCGAAGGATCCAATTCGGTAAGTACATTTGTTGGTGCAGAAATAAATAATGATAACTTTATCTAAAATAATTTATATTTAAGTTTGGACATTTTTAAGAAATTAGTAAAAAATAATTTTTGCACAAACATAACCTTAAAATCAACCATTTTTATATTTGAAAAAACGCCGTCAACTGCATTTTAAACAACAAAATATACCTACGAGTTCATGGAAACATAATATTATATATAATACATAATATAATGGTATTTTACCGTTGAGTGGAGACTTTCTTAATCAACGCTTTTAATAATGCTAAATGCTGTTTAAATTTAGACGACTTATTTGTTTGACGATTTTTACTGAATTCAAATATTTACACTCTTCACGTTAATCACTACTAAAATGTGTATTTATTGTATCTAGCTAATAGGTACAATTTATATTTTCAGAGACTGTATGCAATTTATTTCTTCATTCAGATTAACACTGTTTATTGGAAAACCGGTAAAAACTCAACCCAGGATTTCCTCTCGAAATACACCCAACACAACAAATCGAGCCACGGTTTTTTCCGATATTTTTTAACATTTTCCGGCTTTATTCTTAAAAACTCGTTTGTAACATAAGCCTTTATCAGCTGATTATTAAAAGTTATACTTTTGTTGTAGCCCTGATGGCGATATTTTTTATTAAAATACTGCAAAGTTGTTTTAAAATGCTGGTACAAAATTCTAATTTGTTTTACGATTGCCTTGAAAAATTCACTCATAGGGCTTATTAGTTTTAACAAATAGTTTTAAATACTTTTTAAAGCAATTAAACTTTTTAGCACTTGTTTACCTAGAAATGTTTTATTTTTAAATTTGACAATTTTATTGCCCATGTTAATTAAGCTGTTTTTAGGTCCAAACGTCAAGAAGACCAGTCGAGAGTGTGCTATGACGATCTGGGTTGCTTCGAGGCGTCGGGTCCCTTCGGCTACTTGGACATGTTGCCGAGCAAGCCCGAGGAGATCAGCACGAAGTTTCTGCTGTATCCCGGAAAGAGCCGAAGGAGGAGCGGCTCGCCGCCCGCCGAGGTTCTCTACGAGAACATGAAGGAGGCCTTCGAGTGGGCCAAGCAAGGATTAAACGCCAGTTTGCCCACCAAAGTTTTAATTCACGGGTTTGGCAGCGATTGCGGCTATATTTGGATTTACGAGATGCGAAGCGCCCTTCTCGGAGTGGTAAGATTAGAAAAATAAAAGAAATTTAAAAATTGCACTCGCAGGCAAAATCATCGATCCACACTAATTTTCGAAGAATTTCAATCGCAAATAACTTTTTTATTTGATTTTGGATTTAAACTAATATTAAAGAATATTTTTGATAAATTAATGGAAAATCGCTCACATTTTAAAAATTTACTAAAAAATAGACCATAACCATAACTTTAAGAGTGGCAAAACCTTATATTGTTCTAAATTAAGTTTAAATTTTCAAGTCACATCTATTCTTAACAGTTATGTTTTGGTTCACCTCGATATATTTATTTTTGTGGAAAATATGCATTTTTTAAAAAAACATTGTAATTTTTCTGTACGAAAATTTTTAAACTAAGGTCGATATAGTCCATCTCACAATCCACACAACAAGGTCTGTTCTATCTCGTACTAAAAATAAAAAAATCACTGCAACACTGCACTGGTTAACGGCGGTCATTTTTGTTGTTTACAATTTTTGTGCTTTGGGTTTGTGCTCTGTTTATACAGATTAATAATCGTTTTTAACGTTGTGTTTCTCATAGTAAGCCTTAAAAGAGGCCTTAAAGTGCTAGGAACAACCATTTGTAAAAAATAAACTTTATTTTATCAGGGCTGTCATAAAACTGTTAAATGTCAATTTTAAGTTAAAATTATAAGCCACAAATTAACCTTCAAATTGTCATTTGACAGCCCTGATAGAATAAGGTATATTTATTATAAAAGAGGAGTAAAATGGTTGTCCTTAGCACTTAAAGGCCTTATTTGAGGCTTACAAGTGCCTCTGTAAGAAACCCAACGTTTAGAACAATTATTAAACAGCACAAACCCAAAGCACAAGAATTGTAAACAACAAAAATGGCCGCCGTTAAACTCTGTGCAGTGATTTTTAGTATATTTAGCATGAGATAGAACAGACCTTGTTAAGTGGATTGTGGAACGCCTTAGATTTGCTAGGGAATATCAAAATTGGTGTACTGATGAGTGGAAAAATATCCTATTTACCGAAGAATCTAGGTTTTGTTTAAAATTACCATACTCCTCAGTGATGGTTTTAAAAGTAGGTTTTGTTGTGCCTAATAAAGCTTTCTATTAAAGTAATATGGTTTTAAAAACAATTAACTTTTGTAATAACTCCTATAAACCCAAACATCTTTTCAAAGAATGTCATAAAGATTTGATATAATATTTAGGAAAAAACCAAGAGTCACATTTGTTACTTGGGAATGTGGGTTGGTTGGTTGATATACCATATAGTGGTTGGAACTGGGAATGGCGAACAATGACTAGAATGACGCGAGTGACGGAAGTGACGAGAGTGATGCGAATGTGAGATTACTGCGCAATGTTTTTTAAAAATTCTCTCAAATTTTTGTTTTTTTATAAGAAAGTATTTTTTAACATTTATATCATAATACAAAAAATAATAAAATTTATAATGGTATTATGATATTTTTACAAGATTATTTTCAAATTTTTTAAATATTAAAAATCTTCAATAAAATTTTATGCAATAATAAATTAAATAATTGTACCTAATTTAAAAAATTTCTCACCAAAAACAACAACATTTTTACCTATTTAGGTTGCAAAAATTTATAAAAATAGGTACACGGAGAGAAATGTATAGTAAATTTAAGATAGTAAAAAAAATACAGTAAAATTTACTTTAACAAATTTTTAGGGTAACAATATTATATATTAGTCAATACAATATTAAGATTGTAATATAAAATACTATTTTTTATTATACAATTTTAGTAAACATTACAACACCAATATTACTAAATCATAAATATATAATATATATTTTAATTTTTAATATGTTCGTATAGTAAATTAATTTTACTATCTACAAATAGTAATATTTACTATATGATTTAATCATATGTAAGGTGTACATCTAATATTATAATATATTACACATTAATAAAAAACATAGTAAAAATAAAGATACTTTTATGTTTAAGGTAAATAAACAATATATTTAAATATAATATACAATTTAGTAACTCATAACATTTTACACATTCAATTTTCTTAGTTTCTTCAATAAACTTTCTTGACCCATTACTGGTAATACTTATAAGAAAGAATTTAACCTACTTGGTTGCATAGTATGTACCGATTGCGGCAAAGGCCACGTCGCGACGCGTAGTTAGACGGTGTGGATCACGTGATGTTCTTACATCTCGCCTCTGTTGGCTTACCAACCATATTATATAAGCTCAGGTATTTCTTTGTTTTGGGTGGGTTCCACTACTACAAGTTGCTCGACAGTATCGAGTCGTCACTGATGATACCCAATATAGGTTAAAACACCTGTCTGTCGGTATTTGAAGTTGATGGAACGCACTCAAAACAAAAAACTTTGGCGAGGTGTAGGTTCAATTCTTTCTCATAACATTTGTTACAATTTTTAATTGTTAACTTATAAAAATATTCGATTTTAAAATATTTTATTTTTAAAATGGCAACATAATATTTTAAAATTTACCATACTTATTAGTAATGGAAAAAATCTAATTATAATAAGAATAAAAAAACAGTATTGGTTGAGAATAATAATAGTTTACCTTAAGGTTTAACATAAAAGGATATTTAAAAAGTACTAAATATGCATAGTATCTAGCAATACACAGGATAGTTGTCCCAAATAGTAATATAAATTAAAGTAAACGGTATTATAACTATGATAATTAGTATTATACTTTTCTCTTCGTGTACTATTGTTATAAATGTTTGCCACCTAAAATCCCATCTCTACTTATAAATTAAATAAATATATACATATTTAATTAAAACAATTATAAACATTGTGAGAGTAGGAAGTATAAATGTAAAATTTACCTAACCTTTAACTTAATTCAAACTTAACATTAACATTGTAATAAAATGAGTAAAATGAAAATCACTTCCTAATAAGTAGGTAAATTAATTATTAAAATCCGTCTAGCATTAAGTGAAAATTAATACTTTTAATTGTACTTTTACGTTTGTATTATTCATTTTAACTTCCTTAAATAGCATGAAAGTTTACTTACCAACTCGTAAGCGCTTTAGGTAAATTTTAAATTTAATTAAAACAACTTTTGGATGTTTTAATTACATACTCTATGTGTATATAGAATTAAGAGCTTTCGGGCAAATACCATTAATCCATTTAAAAGTAAAAGTTTTATAAATTATTTACATGTCCCTACAAAAAGGCTTTTCATATACTTTATAAATGAAATAAATCTCAGCAGTTCATTTGAAATTTTACTACTTTAATGTGTCGATAAAGAAAAGAAAGTTTGCTAAGCTCGGATGTAAAACTTGTCGATCGGAACAACCTTGGGGGAGCGCCACTGTCATTAACTATTAGTCAAACAGCCTTAGAAGGAATAACGGCATTCACACTAGTTTCTTTTTGCTGCACTTCGAAGAGGAAATGAACAGGTTTCAAGATTTTTTAATATATTCTTATATATCTCAAATCGAGGCAAAAAAGTGGTAGGTTGTTATTTTTCAGCGAAATTTTTGTTACAGTTTCTCTACCGAAATCGATACCGTATTTTTGTTTAGCCGTAGGAATTTTTTGAAAAATTGACAGAAACATCGATTTTTTTATTTTTAAGAGTGACATTTTTTCTTGAAAACGCGATAACTTGTTGTTTACAATTTTTTTAAATTGTAGGTTAATGTTTTCTACATACAAAAAAAATTAAGTGAATTCACTCATTTTTTTAAGTTGTTTTTTTCTACAAAAGGCAAAAATGAAGTCAAAATTTAGGCATTGCCACATTTGTTTTACTTCCTATTTTTTTCGTTTGAAGTTGATAATATGAACAATTTACACCAAATGTCCCGAGTTGGCTAAATTCGTCGTCTTTTATGACCAACGAACCACCCTCTTTTATTAAAAAAAAATAGTTTTGGCATAAAGTATGGTTTTTTGAAAGCTCCTAAACACCAGCATTGCAAAAAAAGAATAAATAAAATTTAATCAAAAAATAATTTGCAAGTCAAAAATTGACAAATGACATATGCATGTATCCAGAATTCTTTTGAATCGAAATATGTAAAAATATATAGGGTGTTTCATTAAAAAATTTAAAGTTGTGAAACCGGAAGTGAAAAAAATATGTTAAATATGTCAAAAAGTTCTAAATTACACTTTATAGTTTCATGACCCTAGATAAAATACCAAATTTTTGCGATGAAACACGAATTTACCAGAAAATGTCATTTTCATTAAAAAAAATAATTCCGAAACCACGAATTTAGCCAACTCGCGACTTCTGGTAAAAATTGTTTATATTATCAACTTCAAACAAAGAAATATGAAGTAAAAAAAAATTGTGGCAATGTCAAAATTTTGACCTCAATTTTTTTGCCATTTTTTAGAAAAAAAAACAATAAAAAAAAATTGAGTTAATTTACTTGATTTTGTATTGTTTTTTTGTATGTTGTAAACATTTACTTTCGATATCAAAAGGCCCTAAGATTCCAGTACTTTTTTTGGCGAAATTATTGAACTATGTGGTCTGGCAATACTAGCGTAAAAAGGACGAAACGCGTTTTGATAGACTTTGTGTATGGAACAAAATGCACTTTAAATGTCCAGGAAAACTTTCGCCGAAGAAAGAACGTAGGACTAGATGCGTTTAAAAAGTACTGGGTACCGTTAAAAGATGCGCCTTAGTTTTAAGTACAGAAAGTTTAATTATTGGACAAAATGTATTTTGCCTGCGAAGTCTGCCCCTGTGTTTTCAATTTAAAAATAGAGAAAGTAAATTTTTAAGTTAGATAAACAAAGAAAACAGTAATTTTGTCTAGGGCAACACTGTTTTCATTGTGTTTGCAGCACTGGTAACCGATTTAACCGATCATACAGGGTCGGTCGTTTCGTTGACGATTTTTTAACCTCTTTTTCAGAAACCGCGTTTCATAACCACATAATTTTCTGGAATTTTACATTTACAGGACACCTTAACCAAAACTAAACCAACCAAGTTGACTTACGGAAGTATATTCTTTGTTGCAAAAAATGGCGAAAGCGCCGGGATTAATAAATTATTAACAATTTTTTTTAATAACTACAGTAGACTGGGCCAAAAAAATTGACTTTTTTTTTTTTGAAAAATATATCGAGAATGTCATTCAGAATGACAAAAAAAAAATTTCGTGAAAATTTGAGCCCTTAATATTAATTTTAAGAGGTCTATCATCGCTATTTTTGATTTTTAGTCATAATTTGATGTTTTACGTTAGAACTGTAAAAACATTAAACTGAAAAAAATTCCTTTTTACTTAGTTTTATATAAAATTAAATTCTCTTCAAAAAATGACTTATTGAAAATTTTCGTCAGACGGGCCGTTTCCGAGTAATTGAGCTTAATAAATCGATGTGTTTTTTCGATTTGCCCTTTTTAGTTTGAAATTTTGTAACCAATGAATCAATGAATATTTAAAAAAGCTCACGTCGGATTCTTAAAGGAAATTTAATGTTCTACAAAAAAGGTCTCTTAACATTTTTGCCTAAATTTAATTCTTTAAAAGTTATTCACGAAGAAAAAATTGAAATTTTAAGTTTTTCTTCGATTTTAATCGTGAATAATTTTGAAGAATTAAATTTAGGCAAAAATGTTAAGAGATCTTTTTTGTAGAACATTAAATTTCCTTTAAGAGCTTTTTTTAAATATTCATTGATTCATTAGTTACAAAATTTCAAAGTAAAAAGGGCAAATCGAAAAAACACATCGATTTATTAAGCTCAATTACTCGGAAACGGCTCGTCTTTTATATAAAAATAAGTGAAAAGAATTTTTTTCTACTACCTTACTAAAAAACTTATTTTTTCACCCCCGAGCGAGGGAGGAAAATGCCTCTTTTCCTCCCCGGGAGGAAAAAAAAATTCCTCCCTCTTTTTTTTTTTAATTTGACATTGGCAAGAGTTTTTGTACCTTGTCTAGCCTTATTTGATTTTGTAGGAAAAAGATTTACTCCGCGCTTGTCCAACCATTCTTTTAACATTCTTTTAACAAACTATATTCATATTCACTATTTTAGATTTTTAAGGAAGGAAATTAATTGCAACTATTAAATTTATGATAAACATTATGACAGCATATAAAAACTGTTATGTTGGTATTACCAAAAATACCTTAGCAACAAAGCGTTGTCAACATAACGTCGGCGACGCAAAACCTACTTAATATTTTGTCATAATTTTATAGCCCCATACCGGGTAAGTAAAAGGAACCGGAACGCTTAAAATGTCTTAAAACCGTTAAAAGGTAATAGAAAAAACTATATACATACCTCAGGAGAAAAATGCATTTCCTCCCTTGAATATTTAATGCCCTTCGCTTCGCGTCGGGCATCAAACTATTCGCGGGAGGCGATGATAGACCTCTTAAAATTAATATTAAGGGCTCAAATTTTCACCAAATTTTTTTTGTCATTCTGAATGACATTCTCGATATATTTTTCAAAAAAAAAATAGTCAATTTTTTTGGCCCATTCTACTCTACAGCCTATCGGATCCTATATTTATCTACAACGACGTTGCAGGAAGAAGCTAACGTGATCTGCGTGGACTGGGAGAAAGGCGCGCTGCTACCAAACTACGTGAAAGCATCCGCGAACACGCGTCTAGTGGGCAAACAGCTGGCCAACCTGATCAAAGGCCTCGTAGAGCACAACGGTCTCTCGCTCAGGAACCTGCACCTGATAGGCTTCAGCCTGGGCGCTCACATCGCAGGCTTCGCCGGCGCCGAGCTGGGCAACGTCAGCAGGATAACCGGACTCGACCCTGCTGGACCGCTGTTCGAGTCGCAGGACCCGAGAGCGAGGCTGGACCAGAGCGACGCTGCGTTCGTGGATGTTATCCACAGCAACGGAGAAAAAATAATCCTGGGTGGGCTCGGGACGTCCCAGCCAATGGGGCACGTGGATTTCTATCCGAATGGCGGGAGGGAGCAGATTGGGTGCAGTCATTTGTTTGTCGGAGCTGTCAGTGATATTATTTGGTGTAAGTACGATATAAAAAATATTATGTGGTTTATCCTGCATGGATATCTGGAATAATTTTGTTTAAAAAAAGCAATTTTTTTCTTGCAACCACGCTAAAATCGGCTAAATAAATATTAGGCATAGACGCGCCCCATATAGGACCAATATTTTGTGCTACTGGGGAGGTTAATGCCATTATAAACCAGCCATAACGCCATCTAGTGACAAACCATTTAGTTACCAGCTGAGTATAAAAACAACTAAAAAAAAAAACAATAAAAAAACGCTCAACTTATGTATATTCGAAATCAATTAATAAAAAATGTTGGTGGCATATCGAGTTATCAAATACTAAAATTTCAGGCAGCAAAGTTAAATATGTTGTCAAATTCAAATTTATTATAAAATATTTTAGTTAACTTTAAAATGTTCTGTTTACATTTGTAAATAAAAAAAATTGGTTAACGACTCCTGTTATGTCAAATTTATGTTCCGCATGAAATTTGTGCTCAATTTTTTGATAATTCGTGCTCAATTTTTTGATAAAACTGACTAGTCCCGCTGCAATACTGAAAAATCGGCAAAATTAATGGTGAGTTGAACTTTGAACTTTTTAACCAATTAGTTTAGAAAAAAAATCTTTTTCTGTAGAGCGTTTAATTCTCTACAAAAATCAGAAGGAACAAAAACAATTTTTCACATGTTATGCTTATGAAAAATTGAAAAGTGCGATGCGGAGCATTAAGATAATAAAATTAAAAGCTCATATTCTCACAGGCTCATTTTTATACCTAAACGAAACTTTTTAGCCTGTTTGCAAGAAAAAAAATTCGCTTTTTTTTTAAACAACCTAGTAATAACACAGTAGGTACAACACGATTTTCCTCCCATGAAAAATTTTAACAGATTTTAAAAATAAAGGTTAAAAAACTTACCCGTCTCTCACCGCTTCCCGAAATCACGTCATTTAATTTTTTTACACAGCCACTCTTATTATTTTAACCTAAACAGATTTTTCATTCTCTGATTTTTTATAAATAAATTTTTTTCTTTAAATATTTTATGTTTTTACATAATATAAAAAAATATACTTAAAGAAAATACCAATTTTATTTTTTTAAGTAAAAAAATATTTCTGGTTTTTATTTTTGAGTTTTTTTTAATAAAACAACAGATTTGTATTTATCTTATATTAAATATATGTTGGAAACAAATCTTGATCTTTTAGTTTGACAATTATACATTGCTTTCGTGTGTCTAAAAACACCACTTGATATACAGGGTGTTTCACATTCGTGGTCCATTGGAAGTTTCTGGAGAACGGAAAAAATATAGATTTGAAATTTAAAAGCGTTTATCATCCATTAAGTCTATTATTTTGTACAAAATGCAACTTCCGTTTTGACCTGAAGTAATATTAACTTTGTTATTTCAAATAGAACACCCCATATATTTTTACATTTTTAAATTCTACATAAAATTCTAAGTAAAATTACTATACCATGTCCTATACCTAAAGTGAATAGTTTTCTAGATGTTTGCTATTAGGTTTAAGGATATGGGGGTAAAATGTTTGGAATCTTAAAACATTGGTTAAACAAAGTCCATGTCAATTCTTTAAAATTTTTCAACAAATTACCCGAGACACCCCAGGGCAAATTGGGCTAACTTGAAACGTTAATAACTTTTTATTTTAAATGTAATCTTTTGCCGTTCCTAAGAAACTCTCAATGGACCACGAACGTGAAACACCCGTATTTCGTAAATGTGCATCACCCTGTATATAATTAAATTAATTTTAAAATAAATAAATAATCTTAATGGTTGTCCATTTATTAAGTGAATAAATTTTTCATAAAAATATACTGTCTAGCTGTTAGCGAATCTGTTATATTATGTACCGAATACCGTGGATAACATTTTATTGGATCGCACAAAAAAAAAAGACGTGATCTGAAAAAACACCGAGGTACGGGTTTCATTTGTTTAAGTCTATTTTCAAAATCTATAGAAATTTTTCATGGTAGGAAAAAAAACAAATTTTGTCGTGCTGTGTAATACTAAGTAATTAAACCCTACATTTAGTTTAACAGTAAGTCTATAATTGATAGATATCCACAGGTTAATTCATGTTCTCATAGGGAATTACAAATCATATTCAAACTGAGCATTCCCATTAGACATAATGGGAGTAACACACATCTAATTACAATAATATTGAAGTTTTGTGCCTAAATCATTGCATATGTAACTTTAGTTATACATGCTTTTGTAATACAATATATAGTTTTTGAATGCAGGCAACCCAGATTACACGTGGATGTAATAATGTATAATAACAGGAATGTTTAATGCGATTTGCAGCCTCAACTGTGGAGGGGAGGTCCTTGTGTAACCACCGAAGGGCGTACAAGTTCTTTATAGATTCCATATCTCCACGATGTCACTTTCCTGCTTTTCCTTGCGACTCTTACGACGACTTTTTAGCCGGAAAATGCTTTCCCTGCACGGACGAAAGGTGAATACGATTTTCACTCTATTTAAAAACCAATTTTTCTATCAGCCACTGCTGATTCCATAATCGATTTTGTATTGTGTTTATGGAATAGAAATATTTTTTAGAAATTGCGGAAATATGGGATATTATGCCGATCGGTCCAAAGGCAGAGGGCAACTTTATCTAGCTACACGCGATGAAGAGCCTTTTTGCGGTAAAAATCAAATAAAGTTTCAATTATTTTAACCTAAAATTTTAATTATTATAGCACATCAGTATCACGTCAAAATCGAGACCTCACCGAGCCCACTACCCATCAAAAGTTACGGGAAAATACAAATTACATTGATTGGAGATTCAATGTTAAACGAGACATTCATGATGACAAGGTAAATCTCACAAACTCTTATACACAATAATTTAATTTGTAATTTTAGAAAGGACGATGAGGAGATGAAATTAGGCGAGTCCATATCAAGAATTTTAGTACCACATCCAATACTATCCCAACCAACAAGAGTACAAATTTTATACACTGCTTATAGAGGTTGGTTATCATCAGGTTTAACCCAATGGACGATGGATAAAGTAACTCTAATGGATAGTTTTGGAAAAATGTAAGTCCAAAATTCTTAAAACATATTAAACTACAACAAATATATTTAAATTTTTAGGTCATCAGTTTGTAAGAAAAATTTGGTACTTGATTCTGGAGTACCGGTAACGTTACCTCTATATCCAGGAGAGTGTAACGTACCCAAGGAAGTCAAAGTGGAAAAAGAGGCGGAGGATAGAATACAAGATCTAAATTCTATCACGAATTCCACTAAGAAGGAGGGTTTTATACCAACACCTGTTGTGAGAGTTGGCATAGAAGACGTAAAGGAGTTTAAGAAAGAGACCAGCTTATCCGTGGAAAGTGCCCTAGGGTTGTTAAACCTACCATGGAAACATGAAGATGACAACAATCTGGAAGAAATGGAGACCGAATCCAGTCGGGCTTTCAACACTAGAACCTACAAGAAAACTAAAGACAACAAAGAGGTTGAAAGCCAAGAAATTGTCGAACCCATTTTGAAACCACAATCAACGAAAAATGCCAGATCGCACAACCCTGATAAGGATAAACCCGAAATAACAGAACCCATTCTGGGTCCAACAACATCAAAGAATTTCGTACCGAATAAAGTCGACTCTGCAGTAAAGAACGACTTTGTGCCTAAAATTACAAAACAAAGTAAAGAATTGACTTATAATTTTTACGACAGTAAAGATTCTGATGATTGGGTGCCCACAGTGCAGTCCACGAAAGCGCCGGAAGACAAAAACAAACGTAAAGATGAGTCTAAAGTTTTCTTAGGCTTCAATCTACCTCCCCCAGATGATAATCCTCTTGAAGCTATAGTCAGTACGGTACAATTTTTGCCTCAAAGGCTTGCTAGAATGTTCGAACAAGCTGACAAATACGCCAGAGAGACCATTCTGCCTTTGGTAAGCACGTACACGCCGAAATTTATCACCGATATAATATCGCCTAGAGATAACGAACCCAAGTTCGTACCACTCATCTTTGATGAACCTATCCCATCATCAACAACTGTTAAGACCGGGGAAAAAATCAAGTTGAACCTACCACCATCGATGAAAGCCGTAATAGAAAAAATAAAAGACGAGAAACCCAACAGTCACATACAAAAAATCAAAAGGAGGTCCGATAAAGTGACAGTGCTGCCACCTCTACCAAAGGAAAAAATTATTCCAATATCTAGTAAAATAATTACCGACATAACAACAGTAAGAAGTGTCAGTACAACTGATAAAGGGTTGAACAAAGTGAACGAGACCATTGCAAAAATCAACGATAATCAAAAACCCAATGCTTTACCGTTGGTGAGCGAGATTACGAGTAGAAAGGCGCGGGACGAAGTGCACGTCAATAAAAACCACGATCTAGAAACGCAAAGTTCTCAACGAGTGACTGAAAAATTTATGCCGACGACCAAAAAATCGAAAGCCATCTATATAGACTTACCTGTTTTCACGGAGCAAGATTCAAAGTATATACCACTAAGTTATAAGGAAAATTAATCTAAATTATTATTTATTTATTTGATTTGTATATAGGTACGATTAATTTTGTTGTTTTAGTGTATAGTAAGGAAATTAGAAATAAAAATATAAAACTGTTTGCACTGTTTTTTATTTTCCGAACCATAGACAAACAATTATTATTATTATTATTATACAAATTTTACTCTTCATTTTCCTGGCTACACTCATCTAAAAACCTTTCTAGATCTTCCAATCTCTTCACCTCTCTTTGGATGTGTTTCAAATGACCCCATCTCAACTGCCTTAACTGTTTTATATATGTAGGTTCATCTGGAAATTCAAAATGTCATACAATAAATAAAAACTGTTATTTATTACCTTGACAAGAGCAACCTTTACTGGAACACGAAGCTGAACATTTCAGACCACGTAAAGCATTGGTCGTGTTTAAGTCCTTCATTCCAGGAGCAAATTCAATGGTAAGATCCTTATCATTCGATGAACAATGTCTGTTCACCAAATCTATAGCTCGCTTGGTGCTCATATTTTCCGACTGCTTTTGACGATATCTCTCACACGGTATAGTACCCAACTCTTTACTCAAAGCCCTGTCAATCAAATTGACTATATAACTCTAGGACCTATGCAGTTCCAGGGCTCAGTTGTCGTCCAAGGGTGGTTTTCTGTTGTCAGCTATGAAAGAGAATGAATTTTCTGCCGAGGAAGATGGCACTTTGCTTTCTCTTTCTTCAAATTGGGATGTGTTTAAACTAGATACCTATAAGAAAACTAAAGACAACAAAGAGGTTGAAAACCAAGAAATTGTCGAACCTATTTTGAAACCACAATCAACGAAAAATGCCAGATCGCACAATCCTGATAAGGATAAACCCGAAATAACAGAACCCATTCTGGGTCCAACAACATCAAAGAATTTCGTACCGAATAAAGTCGAATCTGCAGTAAAAAACGACTTTGTGTCTAAAATTACAAAACAAAGTAAAGAATTGACTTATAATTTTTACGACAGTAAAGATTCTGATGATTGGGTGCCCACAGTGCAGTCCACGAAAGCGCCGGAAGACAAAAACAAACGTAAAGATGAGTCTAAAGTGTTCTTAGGCTTCAATCTACCTCCCCCAGATGATAATCCTCTTGAAGCTATAGTCAGTACGCAGAGCTGCAACAAGTCAGTTTTAAAAAGACTTAAATCTTAAGTCTTAAGTCAATTCCAAAATCAAAATGATTTAAATCTTAAGTCAATTTTAAGATAAAGTTCAAATGATTTAAGTATTAATACTTAAGACTTAAGTCTTTGAATTAAATCATTTTATTTCAAGTCAAGTCATTTTCGCAAATTCTTAAATCAATATAAAATGATTTAAGTCATCTTATGACTTAATTCCTTTAGTAAGTCGTTTTTATGACTTAAGTCTATATTTTTTATTTAAATCATAATCTAAGAGTTAAGTCAATAAAATGACTTGAATCAAAAATTGTGATTTAAATAAAAATAATTATCCTTAAGTCAATACAAAGATTTTTTAAATGTTAATAATAATTTTATGGTATTAATGATACTGATATTATTAATCTATTGTAGATACAGATGATATTAAACCACTATGTTAAGAATTTAAAACGATTTATTTTCAGAACACTTACAAACAAAATAAAAACTTAAAACACATTTTTTGAGTATATAGTAGACAATCAAAATAAAAACTTAAACCACCTTCTTTAGTAGAGTAGACATACAGGAAGGCTACTTATTTATTTATTTTTATTTCTTTCAAGTCAAGTCATTTTCGCAAATTCTTAAATCAATATAAAATGATTTAAGTCATCTTATGACTTAATTCCTTTAGTAAGTCGTTTTTATGACTTAAGTCTATATTTTTTATTTAAATCATAATCTAAGAGTTAAGTCAATAAAATGACTTGAATCAAAAATTGTGATTTAAATAAAAATAATTATCCTTAAGTCAATACAAAGATTTTTTAAATGTTAATAATAATTTTATGGTATTAATGATACTGATATTATTAATCTATTGTAGATACAGATGATATTAAACCACTATGTTAAGAATTTAAAACGATTTATTTTCAGAACACTTACAAACAAAATAAAAACTTAAAACACATTTTTTGAGTATATAGTAGACAATCAAAATAAAAACTTAAACCACCTTCTTTAGTAGAGTAGACATACAGGAAGGCTACTTTTTTATATACATAAATGGGTAACTTCTAAACGGTAATAGATTCAAACTCTGTTAAAATAGATAAAAGCATTTTTCTTAAAATCTCTATATTTCAGAAACTGATAACTTGTTGTTTTGTTAACTTTTGTTAGTTGGTTCAACATCCATCTAGAAAAAAAATATTCCTCAAGACTACTCACATTCACGCACAATCACGTTTGAATAATTTTATTCACGCACAATCACGTTTTTTGTCGTAATTATTTACTTAAACAAACCGACACACCCTGTATGATATAAACACGTCTTTATAATATTTATTCGTCCTGACCTGTTAATTGTTTGTTTCCACTTTGCACTAATAATTACAAATTAGACATAACTATGCACGCATAACCTGATGAATGTTGGCAAACAAAATAACAAAATTATAAATCCCCACTTTTTTTTCATTCATTTTAAACAGGACTTTTTAAATGTAGCCGTCAAACGGTTCCGAAAAGCTAACTTTACCGGACCTTTACAGGACTTTTTTTATTCACTAGCGGTAGCAATTGTGGGTAGGAAATTAAAGGAGTTTTTGATCTGCTGCATCGTGAACCCCTGGCAGTTCAAAAGAAAATGCCGTTAAACATTTATACAAAAATATATGAAAAATCTGACTTAAATATTTTCTAAAAAGACTTAAATCTTTTTAAATTACTTAAATAATTTACCGACTTTTATAAAGACTTAAATCTTTTTTTGACTTAAATCGTTTCTATCTGACTTAAATTGTATGTATTGATTTAAGCCTTTTATTATTGACTTAAGTTTTTTCTATTTTGATAAAAATACTTAAGTCACAAATCATTTTGAAAATTACTTAAATTTTAAGTCTTAAGTCAGTTTTAGAGAAATAACTTATTACCAAATGACTTAAGTCATTAAAACGATTTAAATCAAAAAAACGATTTAAATTTTCTGAGAGCTTGCAGCTCTGTCAGTACGGTACAATTTTTGCCTCAAAGGCTTGCTAGAATGTTCGAACAAGCTGACAAATACGCCAGAGAGACCATTCTGCCATTGGTAAGCACGTACACGCCGAAATTTATCACCGATATAATATCGCCTAGAGATAACGAACCCAAGTTCGTACCACTCATCTTTGATGAACCTATCCCATCATCAACAACTGTTAAGACCGGGGAAAAAATCAAGTTGAACCTACCACCATCGATGAAAGCCGTAATAGAAAAAATCAAAGACGAGAAACCCAACAGTCACATACAAAAAATCAAAAGGAGGTCCGATAAAGTGACAGTGCTGCCACCTATACCAAAGGAAAAAATTATTCCAATATCTAGTAAAATAATTACCGACATAACAACAGTAAGAAGTGTCAGTACAACCGATAAAGGGTTGAACAAAGTGAACGAGACCATTGCAAAAATCAACGATAATCAAAAACCCAATGCTTTACCGTTGGTGAGCGAGATTACGAGTAGGAAGGCGCGGGACGAAGTGCACGTCAATAAAAACCACGATCTAGAAACGCAAAGTTCTCAACGAGTGACTGAAAAATTTATGCCGACGACCAAAAAATCGAAAGCCATCTATATAGACTTACCTGTTTTCACGGAGCAAGATTCAAAGTATATACCACTAAGTTATAAGGAAAATTAACCTAAATTATTATTTATTTATTTGATTTGTATATAGGTACGATTAATTTTGTTGTTTTAGTGTATAGTAAGGAAATTAGAAATAAAAATATAAAACTGTTTGCACTGTTTTTTATTTTCCGAACCATAGACAAACAATTATTATTATTAATATACAAATTTTACTCTTCATTTTCCTGACTACACTCATCTAAAAACCTTTCCAGATCTTCCAATCTCTTCACCTCTCTTTGGATGTGTTTCAAATGACCCCATCTCAACTGCCTTAACTGTTTTATATATGTAGGTTCATCTGGAAATTCAAAATGTCATACAATAAATAAAAATGTTATTTATTACCTTGACAAGAGCAACTCTTACTGGAACACGAAGCTGAACATTTCAGACCTCGTATAGCATTGGTCGTGTTTGAGTCCTTCATTCCAGGAGCAAATTCAATAGTAAGATCCTTATCATTCGATGAACAATGTCTGTTTACCAAATCTATAGCTCGCTTGGTGCTCATATTTTCCGACTGCTTTTGACGATATCTCTCACACGGTATAGTACCCAACTCTTTACTCAAAGCCCTGTCAATCAAATTGACGATATAACTCTTGGACCTGTGCAGTTCCAGGGCGCAGTTGTCGTCCAAGGGTGGCGTTCTGTTAGCAGCCATGAAAGAGCGCGAATTTTCTGCCGAGGAAGACGGCAGTTTGCCCTCTCTTTCTTCAAATTGGGTGTTTAAACTGGATATGGAAGAATTTTTGGGATGGATGCAGTTGGTTTGAGATTTCTTCCATTGATCCTGGATGTCTTGGTAGCTGTACAGTTTTGATTTGGATGGCGCAGGTTGTTGCTGCAAAGTAAAAAGAAAATACTTTGATGCATATTTTATTTTTGTTATATACCTCATTGGTTTCTTGTGTTTCTTTTCGTGGTTGAGAGGATTGGTTTTCCTTTGATTTTGATCTTCCTACCTCACATTTTTTTAGCTGGTTTAGGAGCTTATCTAAAGTATCTGGACCTAGGGTAGCTTCAGGCGCCATTATTTGTGTGGATGGTATTTTAGTAATTTCATAGTTCGACAAAGCTTTCATTTTATGCCTTTCTTGTTTTAGTCTTATCGACGAGGGAACCTACAAATTTAACAATAGAAACTACTAGCAGTAAATGGGCAAATTTTCGTTAAATGTACATTTGCTGTCCCCAGCTAATTTTATTTTTATTTTTGACCTTTGTTGATAAGTTTTGTATTTATTATATTTAAATACCCCCTTCCTGTTAGGACCCATCGTATTTTTTTTTGTAATTACTTTATGTTTCTATATATGGCAGAAAAACTAGGTGAAATGTCCTGTAACCTAACTGTCCCCAGAGGCGATTTTTTAATTTAAATTATTATATTCTTCTTCTTTGCAGATTTCTTCTGAAAAAATAAATTATTTTTGTTCTTTTATTCGTATATAAAAATAAAATAGTTTTCTACAAAGTAGTTTAAACAGAAAAAAATATTAAAGTTGACATTCAAAAATCTTGTTTTTTCCTAACGTCGTCTTCTATGCCGACTGCTTCGATATAGAGACAAGAGATAGAGATACTATCGTGTTATTTCTAGAGGGCATACATGTTTGATAGTTCGGCAACAACAAGTGAGCACGTGTAAAGTATGTGAATTTTTTTATAAATATTTTAAAGGTAAGATTTTTTTGCGTACACTTTTGGTGTCTTTTACATAACGCTACATAAAACTCTTGTTTTAGAAGTTAACTTTTTTATTTTCATTTTGTATTATAGCATAGTAGAAATTCCAAACAAATGCCGAAAGATATTTACATTTAACAGTATTTCTGAAAAATAACGTTTGAAAAAGTCAAAAGCAATGTGTCATAAAACGTTCAGGAAGATGCGTTAGGAGAAGGACAATGTTTAATTTCTTCCTTGTGTTCCTTCCCTATTTCAGATTAACCCTATAAGTTTTATTTATTTAAAGTTTATTTTGTGTTATTTATAAACTTATAGAATTTTTTTGCAGTATATTACACTGTTCTATCACAAAGGAAAAAAAATCGATCAAATTGACCTGCCTGGACAAAATATATATACAAAATGTACATTTAACGAAAATTCGCCCAAATGTTTTAGCTCATACTCTGGGCTTAATGAATTTCGCCATCCTGGCCAGGTCGCTCTTGCTGTCGACCTGCAAGGGGTCCATTTTGGATTCTTGTTCGTACTGAGCCAGTAATCTCTCCAGGTGGCTGGCCTTTACGTTAACATTAACGTCACCTTCCGAATCAATCTGATGCGGCTCTATCTGCGGGATTTTAAGGTGGTGCTGTTTGCTAAGCAATGAGGGTTCGAAGGGAATAGCATCCTGTTGTTCCTGTCTTTTGGATTTCCGGTGTGTGGCGGGGTCGGGTTGGGAGATCACTGGCAGACAAAGGGTTGAGGGTTGTTTGTATACAGTGCATGACGTAGTGGAACGCTTGAAGAATCTAAAACGCGTTATAAAAGTTTCATTATTTCTATTGATTTTAAATCTGCTTTAAAGTGTTGAAATTCAATTCAGTTAATTTGAGCCCAACTTGTTAAAAAGTTTAACGAACATCCTTAAAGTATAAATTGATGAAAGGTTGCTTATTTATCTCTGCTAAATCAATGAAAATCTGCATTACTTTACCTTTCAATTTAACGTAATTTAAACTTGAAAATTGTTTATTAAATTGGCAATTTTTTCTTAAATAACAAACTTAACCTATTTTTTATGCAACTTGACTCTTCAACGTGTATAGATTAATGATTATTTATGTTTGCCAGTTCAATATAATCTTCATTATTGTACCCTCTACTTAAACATGGTTTTTCATAAATTAGCAATAAAAAACACTTCCCTAATTTTTACAACAACAAAGTTGACCTACATTTATCTTACTTGTTTTTAACCTGTAAAATGACATTTTTTAATGACATTGTATATTTATTTAAGCACAACAAAATATTTATAAAGGCTAGTTATTTTTTACGATAATGTATTAAACATGTAAAAACGGCATAATTATTCTTTGCACCGGAGATTAAATTTAATATGCAATTCCGACATGCAACCATATAAAATCGATACTAGATATAGTAAAACACACAAGATAAATTTTAGATAATTACATGTATATACTTGACCTTACCTATACATATAAGATTTATTTTGGTTTGGGTCCGATCGAAAATGATAATTAGTAGCTGAAAATTGCTTTTTTTAAATGATTTGGAAAATTCTTAGTAAAATTACGATACCGTCGTCCTATACCTAAAGTGAAACTTGAAGTTAATAACTTTTTATTTATGTTTTTACATACTCCAATAGTAAATTAAAAACCTATCGATTGATGTTACTATTCCATATACCTAAAGTTAATAATTTTAGAGATATTTAAAAATTTCATAAATTTTAAATATTATTTTGACGGGTGAGTCATTGTTTAAAATTCATGCATTCAAGCATTTCCTAATTCTTACTTCTACATTGGAAGTAGCTCTTCTAGAGTAAAATATTGTTGGTTTATTAAATTGTTACAGTTATAACCTAAATTTTAAAATATTAACAGATTACGTGGTAACCATACATACCGTCAATTATCCTTCTATCTATGGGTATCTTTTTTATTTGAAAATATACAATGTCGGCTAAATTATAGACAAAAGTTGCATAATTACAAGTTTATTAAAATCTGAAAACCTGTCAAAATAAAAAATTATAGATAAAAGTTGCATAATTACAAGTTTATTAAAATCTGAAAACCTGTCAAAATAAAAAATTGTTAGAACTTCGTTATTCCTGTAAATTTAAAAAAGTAAGTTTCTCATGTAAAAATATACATTTTTTACATTTTCACCCAATTTGTGATTTTTTTGCCTACTCGATTTTTAATTACCACCACCATCTTTTGTTTTTCCCATGGCCACCATATTGGAATTTTACATGGCCAGGAATCCAACCATGTATCAAACTACATATGGGTGATTCTACAAAAGTTGGGCAACTTTTGACCTCATTTTGCTTATATAGTTTTCGTATGTTGTTGTTAAGAGAACATATATAATATAATAAATATACTGTTCCAGGCCGGGCCAGTCACTTTTTCAAACAGTTTCTGAAATATTTGTGTTTTCTAAATTTGAATGCAAGGGAATTAACGAGTATACCATAATTAAATACATAATTTATTGGCAAATATAAGATTAATTGCAACTTTCAGCATATTATACATTAAATATCTTAAAATCAAATAATACCACATATCAGTGGCGGCTGGTGGATTTTGGGTATACCGATATCTCAATTATTAGATATGCGACCCACACCAAATTTATATGAGTTTATATTGAAATTAAATAAACAAGTTCTGCGCAAGCAGAATTTAAATTGAAGTTTGCGAAAAAAAGATAACCGAAACATCGAACATGGAACTGACGACGTATTTTACTGATATTTTTTATTAGTGGATGCTACTTATCAACCAATCACATATATTATTCATTATATAAATTACAATGAAATATATATACGTAAGAAAATAACTACTCACCACAGTACTGAAATTTTAACTGAAACTATACGTGCATTCACCAAAACTTCGCCGCTTGCATTGTTTTCAAGATGACTGTCGTGCAAAGGGCGGTCTCTGTAGGTAATTTTTTACCAACACTTGAGTTAAAACAAAGACTTGACGTTAAACTTCAATATTTCGCAGGAATTTTGAATTTTAACATTGGACACAGACGGGAAAAAGTGAGTACAAAGATTATCAATTTTTTAATGTTTTATAGTTTGTAGTGAAATTGAAAATTTTAAAATAAATTGAATATATTTTAAAATAAAATCACTCAAATATTTGATTCAGGAGTTGTGACACGCCAAGGTACAGATGTTTTGAATATTTATTATGTTTTTCTACAAACGTGCTTTTGAAAAAATACATTAAAATTGGGTGGACAAGTTAAAAAACCTGGATCTTTTGTAATATACTAAAATATTTACAAAAAATATTAAAATACCTACAATATTGACTGATGACATCAAGTTGTCCAACTTTTGTAGAATCACCCATATATGTAACGTATACGTTATGGCGGCCATTTTAAAAACAAAATGGTACATGGTGATGGTAACTCAAAATTTAGTGGGGAAGAAATTTGTTTGCATGTAAAATTACTTATTCTTAAAATTCCCAGGAATAACAAAGTTATAAAGATTTTAGTTTTTAATTGCTTTGATGGCTTTGATGTAATATTATATAAATAAAATAAACTTCTTCACCAGATTTTGTTCATGGGAAAAGCCAGGATACTGAGAATAAGACACTTATAAAGAATTTTTGACTGAATATTTGACAAACTGAATAAGTTACCAACTAAAAACAGTTTAAAATATAATTTAATCCTGTTTGTATTACATTTTTTGTGACATAACTAAGCCATGAAGATTTTTGTTTTAAAATTAGTTGTTTTTTTATTTTAATTAGAATATTTATTAGCTAGATTGTTTTTATTATATACACTTTACCATTTTTCGTATTAGGTTTATTTTTTCCACAAAAAATTAATTCCCAAAGGCAACTAAGTAACTGTCCATAATCATCATAGATAAAAATCGAGATGGGATGGAATTTCATTTCTAGCAGTCCCTAAACGTCTACACCAAAAAAACGCAAAACAAAAACCGGCCAATAGGCAATGAGAAAATATCCAGCATATAAATCCATCAGTCTGTGCGCGATTCGGGATATGAATAAGGCTAAATCCCGAGGGAATCTTTCGCAAAGGTCGGGATCTAAGCCAGCGGTCACCAACAGTTCTTAACATGCACGAACTTGCTTGAGAAGTAAACGTTTTTACATATTTGCTTGGATCGATCACGGAGTGTTAAATTAAATTCAACCCTTGGCGAATGAAAAGTTCTCAACTTTGTTATGATAGCTCATAAATTGTTGAGGTTTATTATCCTGGTTGAGTCATTTATTTATACTTTGAAGTTACGGATAGTACTTGGGAATAATCACAATTATTGGGGCTATGTGTCATGTTTCTATTTTTTGGACCTTGGCCAAAACCCTAAAAATAAACTTAATTATTATGTAATTATTTCCGCCAAGGTAAAGGAATTTTTGAAATATTTAAAATAAAAAAATCCCTTCTGTATGTACAATAATTTGATAAAATTACATTTTCGAAAAAAAATAATTTCTTTGTTAAAAGTTATATTAATCTTTCGATTATTTCACGATGAATAAGTTAAAATATGGGTACTTTGCAAAATATGGTTTTTTGGGGAAACGTTTATTCAACTGTCTATTATTAGGTTCTTATAAAATGGACTGCACAAACTTGCCCGAAAATTAATAAAACAACACCAAACATGCCGCGCCTGGATTTCAGATTTCTGCAAGAGATTTATTAATCTTTGCACTACATACAGTGTGACACATTTGTTTGCGACTCACCCCTGTAAAATCTTTATTTATTTTGCGATTTTAACCGGATTTGTTTTAAACTGTAGATCTTGATAAACTGTATTTTTGAAGCAAAAAACGCCATATTTTTACAAAATACAAGGCCTACTATGTCAGTTTTTAAGAGTAAATTTTTAAGGATTCATATTAGCGATTTTTTTAAACAAAATCTAAGCATGTCACTGGATCCACCACCCCTCAAAACTACCCTATACTAAATTTTATTAAAAAATTTTAAGAAAAAAAAATGCAGAATAATAACTACAAAAATTTATTTTGTCAAGTTATCCATGAAAAAACATCGCAATAAAATTAAACTTATAGTAATAGTACCACGTTAATATTAGTTTAATTTTATTTCAATATTTTTTTCATGGATAACTTGGCAAAATAAATTTTTGTAGTTATTTTTGTGCATTTTTTTTCTTAAAATTTTTCAATAAAATTTAGTATAGGATAGTTTTGAGGGGTGGTGAATTTACTCTTAAAAACTGACATAGTAGGCCTTGTATTTTGGATTAATATGGCGCCTTTTGCTTCAAAAATACAGTTTATCAAGATCTACACTTTAAAACAAATCCGGTTAAAATCGCACAATAAATAAATATTTTACAGGGGTGAGTCGCCAACAAATATATATATTTTTGTGTTAAAGAAATTAATAATAAATTAAATAAATTAGGAAAAATAAATATTTTTCATTCATTCAAAAGAAAACCTATTTGATTATATCAATTTAATTTAATTTAAATAATCTTTTTTCTTTGTTTACAACAACCCAGTTGTAAGATAACGTGAGTACAAAATCAAAAAAATAAATTTATTAATGCTTTAACATTTAGTATAGCTTTTAATAATAATATTTAAAAATACATTATATTTTTTTACATTACTTCGAGATGAGGGGAAATCCGATTTTAAGAAGCAATTTTCATTTCTGGAAACCAAATTCCAGAAAATTAAAGGTTTTACTTTCACAATTTTCAAGAGAAGTATTGAGGCGAACTGTGACTGAGTTAAAAAAGATAATTTTGATATAATTATATATATAATTATTTAAAAAAAAATCCCATTTTAAATTTAATATCAAATTCGTAATCAGCGACCCCAAAAACTCAAAAATGTTCATTTTCCGGGCGATAAACTTATTATTTTTTAAAAAAGTCCGCCATTTTTGGTCCGCCATTTTGAATTTGATAATTTTAATATTATATTCGTGATCAAAGACCCCAAAAACCCAAAAACCATTTTCCTAGGGATAAACTATTTTTTTTTAAATTGAATAATTTTGATTCATCATATTCGTGATCAGCGACCCCAAAAACCTTAACATACAAATTTTCACAATATTATATTCACTTTTTGAGAGAAAGAGTCGATTTGGACCACTATGGAACGGCAAGACCGGAATAACGGATTAAGACACTTATTATTAAAATTGAGGACGGGGATTCTCGACCTTACAAAAAGAAAGACGACAAATTAAGAATGCCAATTTAAGCTAGAATTTTAACAAAATGGCGAATGCGCCGGGATCAATATTTACGTACTGTCTGTCCACTCTAAGTTGGCTGAACTAAGGAATTTTGTTGTTTAGATATTAATGAATTGTCGTACTGTGTGCTTTTAAAACAGATTTTATATTATAAATAATACTAGTACATATTATATACTAGTATTATTTATAATATAAAATCTGTTTTAAAAGCACACAGTACGACAATTCTTTAATATCTAAACTACAAAATTCCTTAGTTCCGCCAACTTAGAGTGGACAGACAGTATTTACTTTAGAATCACGTTTTGCTCCAGTTTGGGTTCGCCTACAGCCCGGCAAAATGTTTACAAATTAATTCGTATTAAAACTTACATGTCTTGTCTGTCGTTAACCCTAATCAACTCCACCTTACTGAACGTACCATTGACATAACATTAATCGAGATAGGTAATTTTCGACTTAATGCAAATGGATTGGGTGCGACCATCCTTATTAGTTAAACACTCTATTTATAATACGATACATCAACTCCTCAAAGTTAGTCGAGTACTTTTTTTATTTTATATTTTAATTAATACAGCAATTAAGTCAAAATAAACAATTTAAAAGTTATATTAACCCTTATACTTTAAAGGGGTGACCCTTATACTTCAAAGCCTTACTAAGTAAATAAAAATTAAGCATAATTAAAAAAGTTCTCAAAGACTTAATATTTATTTTTTCAAGCCCAATAAATAAATCACCCAAAAACCTAAAACTTAAGGTTTTAAGGACGATACAAAATATGAGTTATTTCCTGTCAGATAAAACCGCGCAGTTCACCACACCGAACTTAATTTTCCTCAAATTTTGTGAGTCTTATAACTTCAAAACTTTAAAATATTTTAGTAAATAGGCATTTTACGAAAAAATGTTTAAAATAAAAATTAAATGATTCGAAGGGGGAAATAAATTAGTACCAAAATTATTCCCCATACTCTCATGGAACACCCTGTTTTTTATTGCAGATTCGGATCATTCGACTAAAAACAGGGAGATTTTGTCTAAAACATTTTTTCATATGTGTGGCGTTGTAACACAAAAATTTTGTTTGATTTCTCCTCTGTATACCATTCTGCAATAATTTTTCAATAAAAATATGAAAGTATATCACTTTTCATTGGAAGTAATTATCTTATTAAATTATATTAACAAGTATCAACAACCCATGAAAATATAATTGAGCGAATTAGAAATGCTTGGGCCGAAATTCCAGCACCTACTTTAATAAAAATTCGAAAAATAAAAATTGTTTTGAGCTAAAATTGTATTAATAATAATAACAAATAACAAGAATTTCAAAAAAAAATTATTGCAGAATTTTATACAGAAGAAAAATCGAACAAAATTAATTTTTTTTCATTACAGCGCCATCTATTACAAATATAAATAAATGTTTTTGACAAAATCTACCTATTTTTAGTTGAATGATCCGAATATGCAATAAAAATTGTAAATTTTAAACTTACCCCAATTTCCCCCCTCGAATCATTTAATTTTTATTTATATTCTAAAGTTTTAAGTAAAAAGACTCACTCTGTACATATAGGCTGGGATAAGAAAAAATCTTAACTCAATTTGGGAAAATTACAAAAAGTTTGTTGTTCAGTAAAATTACTATACAGGTATTGTAATTTTGCTAAAAAATTTAAAAATGGTGTTTTGTAATTATTAGGGATGGGATATTTAGGTACTAAAAACTGAAAAATAGGTAACTAAAAAGGTACTAAAAAAAAGCATTTTAGGTTAAAAAAAACAGCATTTTAGGTAAAAAAAATCATTAAAAGTTTAAGTTTCGTTTATAATTTTGTTTAGCCGCATACCCAAACACAGAACATACCCATAATAAACTATTTCTATGCAATAAACTGTGTTTTACTGAGTGACACTCACTACACAGAAGTTCTATGACAGAACATAAGCTCACTAGTAGTGAGTAACTACAAAGAAGGTAACTGTAAAGAAAGTTACTGTTACAGTCTGTAACCATTAGAAAAAATTCTATACCGTTGAGTTGCACGCCCTGGATAAAATATTGGCGCAAATTTTAAAAAGAACAAAAAAAATAAAATAAGTAAAAATACGTAAAAATAGGTAACAAATATGTAAAAATAAACTGACAAATTAAAAAATATGTAACAAAAGTATAAAAAGGTAGTTTAAAGCAAAAACCTCCAAAAAAGGTAAAAAAGGTGAAAAAAAGTTTAAAAAATAGGTAACAAAAGTGAAAAAAAGGTAGTTAAAAGCAAAAACCTCCAAAAAAGGTAAAAAAGGTGAAAACAAGTTAGGTTCATATAAAAGAAAATCTTTTAAAACACATTTTTGCATTATTGGTTTTCAAATAGTTACATCGGTTAAAAAAAGGTAAAATAACTAAAATCCCATCCCTAGTAATTATACTATTCAATTTATTTCAACTTAGTTTAAGAAAATTACAAAATATATTTTTTCTACTCCCACCTTTAAAACGCCCTTTATCGTACATGTTTCCATGACACTAAGTGACCTTTTAAATACACATTGACAAGTTGTGGCGTTATGGCGCTTTAGTCACGGGCTGAAGTTAGCAACAGGTTTTTATTCACGGGCTGAAGTTAGTTTTAAGTTAGTTGACAGTTGTCAAATGTCATACAATCGCTAAAATAAAGTGCCTTTCTTGTAAAATAATACTAAATGTGAAAATTATTTTATTATCTCAATACGAAAATACAAAAGTATTAAATAATTTCTCAACGCCAATATTTGAAAAGTTTATATGGACATTGTACTGACCTTTTAATTTCGCCGGCAGTAAACTATAACTTAAATTCGGGCACGGACTCCACTGTAAAGTGCTCATAAAACATTTTCTTTACTTTAACTGTGAAAAACTGTCAATTTTCAAGAAATACATTTCGATTTATAACCTTTATAATGTGTTTAAATTTTAAAAATTTGACATTTGACGGGGACACACAGATTATCATATTGTTTCATAGATGGCGCTCTATATAAATTTTTGATTTAAATCATTTTAAGATAATAATAAGTATTTGTCGTAGAAAAAGTATAGTATGCACCTCGTTTATAAACTTTTCTATACACTCATTAATTTAAATTCGTGTATAAAATGGCGTTTATCAAACTTGATACATAATATACTATTACAATTATACTGAACTGAAGAAAATTCGTTTCGCAATATTACATTACAAATACTGTTATTTTGTACAACAATTTCGGGCAATTTGGTGTATTGGAACACACCAAAAAAGAAAGACACCTAAGCTTATATACTATCCACCTAAGTCAACCGAGGCGAGAAATAAGAACATCACATTACATAACATTATAGCAAATTAAATTACAAACGATTGTAAATCTGAGATACTTTTTATTAGATACCGTCAATCTGTTTAGTAAAATTACAATGGATTTATACATATAGAATCTATATTATAGATTGTAAAATTACAACTTATCTTAGTAGATTTCCCAACATGTCTTGGAAGATTACTCAAATTGTATTATAATTTTGTATTGGTATACACTGATTTGTAATTTTACTCATATTTTGTTTTGCAAAACAGTTGTAATTTTCCAAAAAAAATTAACAGTGTACAAAATGATATATAGTAAAAATGCAAACAGAAGTTGTATAAAATAAATAATGATTTGTGTATTTCCACTTATTGTAATTCAAATAGCAAATTTTGACTAGTAATTTTTTTGATTAACTTAGTAAAATTAAATTCCGAATATGTATAGAAATTTTACAAAATTTCAAATTCAATTCTACAATACAAAATTGTAAAATTACCATAAGTATCTGACAAAAACAAAAACATTGTAAAATTAGAACCTGTTTAGTACTTTGGCTATAACAAATGCGTATTAAAATTGAAATACAATACAACATTTTGTAATTTTACTATGCAACTGCCTAGTAAAAATATAGTAATTTTACAAACATTTTTAACAGTGTACTTGTTTACGATTTTTTGTCGTAAAAAACACGGAGAAAAGTTTGTATATAATTGAATAAAAAGGATTTATCTTGTGACTAAGCGATAGTAAACTTTTGTAATTTATTTTTCTGCCGGGAAAAAGTTTTCAGTCCTTACCTTGGCGTTTTCACAGTTATGGGGTATCTTTTATTGGTTTGTTTTTCCTGTTGACCGAAAGCTTTTATCACTCTTTGCTTGTAAGCGTACTGCTCGGGAGTCACAACTGTAAAATACTGATACTTCGGTTTGACGTATTTTTTTTGTTGCATACGTTCCTCTTCCTCGACAGCTTGATTGTAAAAATACCTGAAAATATTTCTTGTAAATTTTGCCCGCTAAATTGCTTGAATATTTACTCTGGCGGTATGGAAGCCGACTGTTTGTATCTTCTATGCTCCTTTTTTATTTGAGGTGGCGGTGACGCAATTTCCCCGCCGTCTGGTCTTCCATATAGTTCGGCGAAATTATGAACTACCGGACGGCCCGCTTGATCTTGATAATAAAACTCATTATTGTAATCTTCTTGGGGATAATCGTACTCTTCGTCCTCGTAAGAATAGTGATTTGAGTGATGCCTTGACATTTTGTTGGAGCAGAATGACCGATATAATACGATCTAAAATTATGGGCCGTTTTAAAAAAAAATTATATTATTTAGGTCCGTAAACAAGAAAATAAAAGTTTTATTAATTTATAAGTAAACTTTTTTGGGTTCATTTTGTTTTTGAGACCTTAGAAAATGAAAGTTGCCAAGGTATAATGCGCGTTTATAAATTTATTATCTCATTTAAAAAACAAATTTTGCTTTCATCTTAATACAACGCAATAAGGTGAAACCAAACTCTGAATTTTAAGTGCTTGATGGGGAAGGAAATAAGTTGGAAAAGTTTAGAAAATATGGTTTGGCAGTCGAAACTGTGTTGTAAATTGCAAATTAGGTGGTCCTTAAGTGCATTTATAATGTACTAGTTTTCCCATTTTTGCGTTGATTTAGTGTTTTACTTTATAAATGTCAACGGAAGTTCTTAATTTAGCGTTACTTTTAAGTTGTAGAAGTTAATTTCAACCCAAAATATTTTCGTTGGTTTGGACCAAAAAATGCTTCACAATCAACACAAATTTAACGCTAGTTTTGTGTTCTCAACCATAACTGTACTATGCTCCACACCTCAAAGTCCCACCACGTGACCACGTACGGAACGCAGTCTTTTGAAAATTTGGCATTTAAGGCTTTTCAGGTTATGTATCTGTCAAAGTATAGTCAACGAAAGAAATAATATTATGTTTAGGCATTAAAAATGTATAAATCTTTATAACATTACAATATCAATGGTTGGTTTAAGAATTTAGGAATATAAATACTGCATTTAATGAAATTCTAAAGTGTATGGTGCCAAATAAGTAATATTTTTGTGCATTTGGTCCAAATATCGGGTATTCTCCATAAAATAATTTTAAATAAAAGAGCATTTATTGAAAAAAAGCTTCTCTATTATGGAATAAGTATATCTGTATTAAAGGTAGGTTAATATATTATAAAAAAAAACATCTTCTAATTTCGTAATTTTAAGGTTAGAAAAATTTATTTTTACCAAAATAAATAAGTATTTTGGATTATTTCAAAGACTGTATAATATGGTATTTAAAAATGAGGTAGTTTTTCTAATCCAGCTTAAAGTGTACCTATATAAAGTTTTGTCAATACATTTGTATTATAAGGTTAAAGCTTAGACTGAATTTGATCTACATCGAAAAATCATTATAACCTTAAAATTTTTAATAAATCACATGTCATGGGAGTATTAAATATTTTCACATTGCAAATTCCTCTAAAAATTGTTTGTTTTCTTATAATCTAAGTTAGATACCTACTTTAAGTTAACTAACTTAAAGTAGGTATGCTGAGAGGTATGCACAAGTTTTGTCATTAAAAGTATAAAAGCTTCAATTTAATTTGAACCATATTCAACAATTTTTAGTATACCTATATTTATTTATGACCATATTAACACACTTTTCCAAATAATCCACTTATTTATTTTGGTCAAAATAGATTTTTCTAACCTTAAAATACAAAATTAGATGATATTTTTTGTTCTAATACATTATCCTACCTTTGATATAGATATTCTTATTCCATAATGGAAAAGTTAGATTTTTTTAATAAATGCGGTTTAATTAAAACTATTTTATGGAGAAATGTTGACCCAATGCACAAAAATATAAATTATTTGGCACCATACACTTTAGAATTTCATTAAATGCAGTATTTATATTCCTAAATTCTTAAACCAACCATTTTTATTGTGATACTATAAAGATTTTGGATTGACATTCTTTTTTTCAACACAAACCTAACATTAGGTTTAAACCTAATAAAACTCCAACTTTATATTACAATTGTTGCCATATTTTTCGTAAGTAATATCAAAAGGGCATCTAATTTTTTCGAAAAAAATGGAAAAAACACGTTGCTAACTAATATTTCAACAAGAAGCATGAGTGCTGGTGGCAACAAAAATCCGATTCGAACACAACCCAACCCAATTCCAAATTGGTCGATTTCTTTTAGACGATCTGCTGCGCTCATATATGATCTATAGATTATTATGGTTATCATGATTTACATCAAAGAATTATAAAAATCCGCTTTATTTTGGCAACTTTAGGCGCCTCTGGTAGCGATATGCAATAATTGTATTTGACAACTCTGTATGTCACTGAATCTGTGGTTAGGTATATGGTGGACTGCTGATGTTAAGTTGGTTTTGTTTTATCAAATTCTGGGTAAGCTACACAGACAAAAGGTATGCTACAAATAAATGTAATTATATAAATTAACTAATCAAGGTGATTGTTTCGTTTTAACATTATATTAACGTTAAATCTCTACTTAAAAGAAATACAGTAATGTTTGAGAAATAAGAAACACAAAATGCCAGTTTTCATTTAGCCAGGTGTGTTGCACTATATTTTTATTGTTATTATTTATTAGGTTCGCATGTATCTATATTATAATATAAATGAATTATGTTTTGTACCCAAAACTAGAGTTTTCATAAAAACCATGCGTTTACATTTTGAAATTAAAGGCAAAGTTTTGGGTTTAATTTCCAAATGTAACATTATTTCAATTATTTTTGAAAGTGTCATATCTGTCAAAATCGAAATTTTTACAATATTGTATTGCTTAAATTTAATTAACCGTAAAGAGCTAAATAAATTTTCGTTTGAATTTTTTATATTTTTGAAACTTTTGAAATTTGTAAGCAACCCCTACAAAATGTTTATTTAAGCTGATTTTTAGGGAGTTTTTAAAACTTAAAAGACTCAACGAAATATTTGGTTTTTAGAAAAATAATAAAAAAAATACCATATTTTTTCTGATTAAAATTTTCGGGTTTAAATAGTTTTTAATTAATTTTCATAGTTAACATAATCTTAAAAATAAACAATTAATAAGCACTTAAATTTTCTGATTGTTTAAGTTTAATAAACAAGTTTAATAAACAAGTTTAATAAACAAGTTTAATAAACAAGTTTAATAAACGCAATTTTAGACACAAATTTAATTTAAATGAGTGTCAAGAAAAGTTTATAAACGAGTTGCATAGAATACTTTTTCTAATCTGTATTATGTCAAATGTCAAATTTTTATGTGTAAATCAAAATGCATCCCTTTAAAATGGACCGTTGAATGAATAAATGAATTTGATATTGAAGCAGTTTTTCAGTGAAAGTAAAGAAAATGTTTTATTGGCACTCCACGGTAGTCTCCACCAGAAATTAAGTTAAATCTTGTTTACTGACGGTGAACTTAAAAGGTTGAGAAACCACTTTTTTATTTTTGCATTGAGATAATAAAATAATTTTAACATTTGGAATTATTTTACAAGAAAGTCACATTATTTTAACGATTGTATTCAACTAACTTAAAACTAACTTCAGCCCGTGACTAAAAGGCCATACAACCACAACTTCTCAATGTGTATTTAAAGGGTCACTTAGTGACATGGAAACATGTACGATAATGGACGTAAAGCTGGGAGGAGAAAAAATACAAAAAGTATTAAATATCACTTAGCCGTAATACCTTTGTAATTTGTTTATATCAACAACCATCAGAAAGTTCAAAAGCCTATTATTTTTTTCTTTTTAGGTTTAGGGTAATAATGAAATTTTAATTTTTGTTCCAAATTAAATTGTCTTTTAAAATACGTAAAAATATACAGGGCGTCCTGGTTAAAAAAAACGTTTTTTTGTAAATATTTTGGAAACCCAGCGTCCAATTGTTTTTTAGTTTGCCAATTTAACCAACTTTGTGGCTCCAATAATAACCTAGTAAGAATTTAAGAAATAGTGAGCAAATAACTTTGAACACGATGTATAAAAATTTTTGAAAGAAAATCCAAAACAGACAAAATGCGCCGGGATAATGTGTTTTCAAGCAAAGTAAAGAAAAGTTAATAGGTACTGTTTATCTTCTTTAAAAATGCGAAACAAACTGTAGGATTTCGAATCGATTGCAGTAAGTAAATAAAAAAAATTCTGCAAGGGATTTAAAAGTCTACTGTCTGTTACAGTTATTTTGCCGGAGGAGCTGTTTTTTATTTATAAAGTTTACGAATGAAACTCTTTTTGTCCAAATGATGAAACTTTTAACCGGCTTGAAAATTAAATAAAAAAAACTGCAATTCCGTTTTTGTGATCTAGGACTGGATCTCTGAAGACTGATGCTCTACAATTAAGATATTTATCTAACGAACTTTTTATTTAAAAGGATTATATTTTTAAAACAATTAGTGAATAACGTTTTACAGCAATAAAAAAAATGTTAATTGGTTAAATATTGTTTAATGGAATCTAATGTCGATACGAATGCAGGGCTGGTCGAGAATTTATTGCTTTAAAGCTATTAATTTAAAATGCCAGGAGCTGTGCTTGGTGAATTTTTTTCGTTAAAGAAAAGCTTTTAATTCGGTATTCTTTTAAAATAAAATCGGTTCGGTTCAGTTAAAATTAATTAAGTTTAGATTAATCTTAAATCTTACCTTATTTAAAATTACGTTCAAATTTGGGGAGGTCTTTTCTGATTTCTGTTGTAAAAAATTCAATTGTGACATAAAGAAAAACTGTCACATAAAATATGTCAATAATGTACCAACACAATAAAACTTAAAGCCCAAACGCTTTAAAAAATAATAGTATAATAATAGTATATATACGTATACGTATTAAAGAACTAATGTCATAAGACCGAATTTTGTCGCACGCAGAAATTTATAAAACAAGCGACGAAGGACCGAGTTTTGTAATGGACGAGTGCGACAAAAGGTCTTATGGCATGAGTTCTTTATGCTATTTTATCTATTTTGCCAAAATTCTATAAAAAAAAGAATTAATTTTTTACCTTAAATTTAATTTGGTCGAATTTTTTAGATAGTTGGTATCACAGTCATTGGTTTGACAGTTAATGTCAAAATCGATTCGCCATGCCGTCCTTAATTTACTTATTTACAATAAGGGGCTGTTAATGTTAAAGAAGAAAAAAAGGATTTTATTTGGTGTTAAACAAAATTTATTGCCAGAAAAGTCTCGTAAGTACTAGAAAAATCA